TGGACCAAAGAAAGAAGTAATGCAAACAAACTGGGTAGAAGAGAGAAACTTAAGCAAGGAGGGGGAATAAAAAACCAAAAACCTACCACCACCACATCTAGTACCTGAATAAACAGTCCTCAGTCAGTTCAGTCATTCAGTCATGTCCAACTCTTTGCAACTGGAGCAGACCAGGATTCCTTGTCCATCACCAACTCCCAGAGCTTGCTCAAACTCATGTCCATCGAGTCGGTGATGCCATCCAACTATTTCATTCTCTGTCGTCCCCTTCTTCTTCTGCCTTCTGTCTTTCCCAGAATCAGGGTCTTTTCCATTGAGTCGTTTTTCACATCAGGTGGCCAAAGTATTGGAGCTTCAGCTTCAACATCAGTCCTTCCACTGAATATTCAGGACTAATTTCCTTCAGGATGGACTGGTTGGATCTCCTTGCAGTCAAAGGGACTCTCAAGAGTCTTCTCCAACACCACAGTTCAGAAGACTCAGTTCTTTGACACTCAGCTTTCTCTATGATCCAAATCTTCACATCCACACATGACTACTGGAAAAACCATAGCTTTGACTAGACGGACTTTATTGTTGGCAAAGTAATGTCTCTGCTCTTTAATATGCTATCTACATTTGTCATAGCTTTTCTTCCAAGGAGCAAGCGTCTTTTAATTTCATGGCTGAAGTCACCATCTGCAGTGATTTTGGAGCCCAAGAAAATAAAGTCTCTCACTATTTCCATGGTTTCCCCAGCCATTTGCCATGAAGATGGGACCAGAGGCCATGATCTTAGTTTTCTGAATGTTGAGCTTTAAGCCAGCCTTTTCACTCTTGTCTTTTACCCTCATCAAGAGGCTCTTTTGCTCCTCTTCACTTTCTGCCATAAGGGTGGTGTCATCTGCATATCTGAGGTTATTGATATTTCTCCTGGCAATCTTGATTCCAGCTTGTGCTCCATCCAGCCTAGCATTTCTCATGATGTACTCTGCATATAAGTTAAATAAGCAGGATGACAGTATACAGCCTTGACGTATTCCTTTTCCTATCTGGAAGCAGTCTGTTGCTGCATGTCCAGTTCAAACTGTTGCTTCCTGACCTGCATATTAAATCAGAGTATTTTGCTACCTTAACACAGTGGTTCTCAACCCTGGATGAATACGGAAATCCCAGTTTTAGTTGACTTTTTTTTTGTTTGTATGTTGGCCACACTACGGGGCATGCAGGATTTTAGTTTTCCGACCAAGCATCAAACCTATAACCTCTGCAGTGGAGTCATAACCACTGGATGGCCTGGAAAGTCCCTGACCTTTTTTTGAAATCAACAATTTTAAAGAACACTGATGCCCAGGTCCCATCCCCACAGATTCTTTTTTTTTTTTAATTTTTAAAAAATTTATTATATTTTTGGCTGTGCTGGGTCTTCATTGCTGTGCAGACTTTTCTCTAGTTGAGACTAGCGAGGCTACTATCTAGTTGCAGTATATGGGCTTCTCAAAGTAGTGGCTTCTCTTGTTTTGGAGCATGGGTTCTAGGCATGCAGGCTTCAGCAGCTATGGCATGTGGCCTCAGCAGTTGAGGCTCCTGGGCTCTAGAGCACAGGCTCAGTAGTTGCGACCCACAGGCTTAGGTGATCCATGGCATGTGTGATCTTCCTACATCAGGGATCGAGCCTGTGTCTTCTGCATTGGCATGCAGATTCTTTATTACTGAGCCACCAGTGAAGCCTTCCACAGATTCTTATTTAATTAGTGTGAAGTATGTCCAGAGCACGAGAACTGTTAAAAGATCCAAAACTCATTCTTACATGCAGTGTTGACCAAGAACCACTGATTTAAAATGACACAAAATGAACACAGTGATTTAGTTGATAAAGATATATGAACAGACACACACACACTAGAGTTCAAAAAACTTGATCGTTCTTCTTAGAAGCAACCTCTTAATATCTTAGCATCATTAATTCTCTAACAAACTCATCCAATGACAGTACTGTGAAAATAACTTTGCCTTTGTTGCCCATGTATGTTCTAAAAATTAGTAACTTGACTTAGTAAAGTATGTCATAAATAACATTCATCTAGAAGCTGACAGAAGTACTAACCAAAGGTCCAGGTCTCACAAAAACATTTCTGGTAGGATCTGGGTTGTATATTTTACCGCCAGTCTAGGTTCTATTACAGTTTACTTTTTCTTTACACCTTTTCTTTATTTAAGAATATATTTGCAGTCAAAGAATCTTTGTGGGTTTAAGTACATTTCCAATCATTTGCATAGTGATCATTTTCTTTACAACTTTGAAATATAAATAATGTACAATAAACTGCACATCTAAAGTATGCAATTTCATAAGTTCGGTATAAATATATATCCATAAAACTGTTGCCACAGTGAACATAAACATTTCTATCACACTTAAAAATTTTCATGCACCCCTCTGTAATCTAACTTAATCCTCTCTCTACTCTTACGCCTAGGCAGCTGCTTCCTGTCACTATAGGTTACTTTGCATTTTCTAGGATTTTTATAAGAAGAATCATACATTATGCTAAAAAAAACTTTTCATCTGGCTTATTTCACTCAGCAAATGATTTTGAGATTCAACCGTTTTGTGGTGTATATCAAAAGTTCTTTCCCTCTTATTGCTCAGTAATATTCCTATCAATGCTCTTGATTACCACATTGTATACCTAACATATTTTCTTGGCACATACTATTGTGAGAAGCTAAAAAAAGCTCCTCGATGTACGCATCAACGATTTTTGGAAAAACTAGGTCTGGTGCACCCCATTTTAGTTCTCACTTTACCATTTAGCAGGTGGGTCTGAAGCAAGTCACTTATCTGCCTCATTTACCTTCTCTAGAAAATGGGCTTATATGTCACCTCACCTATGTAATTTACCTTAGACAAGGCCTCAAAGACTCTCTGACTTCTAGGACCTATTGATTCTACTGAAATAGGTAAACCTTCTAGAAAAACAGCAATGCTCATTTGTTTACATACTGCCTGTGGCTGCTTCTGAGCTGCAGCAAGAAACTACACACTTGCAAGAGAAACTATATAACTTTCAACCCTAAAATATCTGTCCTCTTAAAAAAAGGCTTACCAACTTATTCTAAGTAATCATGAAATGTTCCTGAAGCTAGCTAAAAAACATCTGTAGTGATGTTTAGAATTATTGATTGACAAAAAACCACTTCACTATTTTTTAAAAAGTTTTTTTTATTACTTTAGATAACAAAATGAAAGGAAAATCATAGGAACTCAAAAATAGATTTTTTAAATCCCTGTGTCAATACCCAATAAGCTTAGATGGCATATAAAATCAAAAGGTACATTATAAACCCTAGTTCAAGAAACACTAGGAAAACATCAAGTTAAAGGAATACTATAATAGTTTTCTTCCCAGGTGGCACTTAATGGTAAAGAACCTGCCTGCCAATCAGAAGAGGTTAAGAGATGCAGGTTTGATCCCAGGGTTCGGAAGATCCCCTGGAGGAGGGCATGGCTACCCACTCCAGTATTCTTGCCTGTAGAATCCCATGGACAGAGGAGCCTGCTGGGCTACCAGGGTGGCAAAGAATCGGACCCAACTGAAGTGACTTATTAGCACAGCATATGGTTTTCTAGGAAAGTCAAAGCAGATTCGTATGTTTCCATCTTCTTGCCCAAAGAACAAATACTTGAAGACAAAATGAAATAATCACTACTGCCAGAATAAAAAATGAATAGCCTATACAAATGGCTGGTGAAACTGAAATATCCAAGAATACTTTCTGCACCTTTTTAAATGTCTGATTTTTGGTCTAGGAATAATTGGAGTGGTTAAGAAAATGGACTTTAGGATCAGAGAAACCAAAGTCATAAAGGCTTAGAAAATAACGGAATAAAAGGAACTCAAAATAAATTTTGCAAAAGTACAATTTTTAAAAAGGGATTATCTTTTAAATTAAAATTAAAAAGTCATGAGGGAACTACAAATACTGAACAATCCTAAGAAACTCAATAAGGGAATATGTGAGGAAACCTGCCAGCTAAAAAAATGTTCTCCTTATTAGAAGAAAAGAAATAAATTTCTATTATAGCATGTAACAGAACCACTTATTTGATTATTTATCTGGAAATAAATCTAATTAGCTAATTCAGTGGTCTGGGTTTCCTCTTCTTAATTACAAGTTGCTGCTTTTTTTTCCCCCCAAAAGACATATACCAGGTCATTAAGTCTGATCTGGCAGTCACCTGACTGCCAGTTCAAACTGACTTCAAGAAAAACCATGTGGATGTCTGCCATGATGACACTGGAAAATGAAAGGACGCAGTGAGTAAGTGAGTGAGTGAGTGAGTCAGTGAGTCAGTGAGCGAGAGCCGCTCAGTCGTGTTCCACTATGCAATTCCATGGACTGGAGCCCACCAGGCTCCTCTGTCCCTGGGATTCTCCAGGCAAGAATACTGGAGTGGGTTGCTATTTCCTTCTCCATCACAAGGAAAGCAGTACTGTTTTGTAAATAATCAGTATCAATTAAAAATTATTTATAGGCTCAGGGACAGAAATAGTACATACTCAGGGTCTTTAGGACAATATTGTAATTAAAAGACATGGCCTCTTGTATCTGAATGCCTATAAAGATGAGTTTTGTGAGTCAGTTTTGTTCTGTGTTGTTTAATCTTAATTTCTGATCTTTATTTAGCATCTTTATCATTGCTTTGGAGATTCTAAATGCTGAGATCTAACCAAAAGGGAGCAGTGGCCAACTTCTGTGCAGTCACCTTATTGATCCATTTTGTTCCTCTGAGATAGCTACACTAGAGGCTGGTGGCTTTCAGACTCAATCCACAATTGAGAATATCTATATTTTCAGATGATTTCTATCTCTGAAAAAGGATTCTAAAAAGCAGAATCTTTTCCTATTATTATCTCTGCAAACAAAGACCATTAAATAAATTGTTCTGAATGTATGGCTAACATGTAACAGAAAATACAGTTTACAAAGGGAAATTGACCGAAGCTTGAACTCACCTGCCCACTTTTCCCTATTTCCAGCTCCATGATGGCAACGGGAGTATGTATTTGAGGTGAATGTCTTGACTGCGATTTGCCATCAACTCTCCAGCTCAAGCCTCGAAGCCCACTGTCCCAGCGGCTCTGGTTCATAAGGCTCTCTCGGATTTTTGTCTTATGGCTCTTCCAGAACTTGGAAATGACAGCAGCTTGCTCAGGTGTGATCCCTCCTTGCTTTTTGGTTTGAGCAGTCAAGAATGCCTCCAGCTGGTTGAAATCCATGTCTGCAGACGCAATAGACTAAAGACAGAAAAAGGAATAAATTTGAATTTGGTAGATAACTAGAAAAAGATAGTTTTTTAACTACAAATCACACGTTTAAATGATTCTTAATCACTGAATAAGCTTTCAAAAAAGATCATCAAGGCCTTCCCTGGTGGTCCAGTGGTTGAAAGTCCACCTGCTAAAGCAGGGAACACAGATTCAATCCCTGATTTGGAAGGATCCCACATGCAATGGAGCAACTAAGCCTGCTGCAGCACAACAAATGAGACAGCACTCCAGAGTCTGCAAGCCATAACTACTGGAACCATGCCCCACAACTACTGAAGCCCATAGGCCCTAGAGCCCGTGCTCCACAAGAAGAGAAGCCATCACGATGAGAAGTCCATGCACCTCAACTAGAGAGTAGTCCAAGCTTGATGCAACTAGACAAAGCCCATGCACAGCAATGAAGACCTAGCACAGCCAAAGAAATAAATCTTTTAAAAATGGGTCATCAAAAGACAGTAATGAGAATAAGCTCTTCACAAGTACAAAAATAATCACTTTGAAAATACTGAATATCAGAAAAGTTACTGTTAAAAATGTCACATTGGGAATTCCCTGGTGGTCCAGTAGACAGGACTCCATGCTCTCTATGCTGAGAATGCAAGTTCAATCCCTGGTCAGAGAACAAAGTTCTCAGAAGCCATAACGCATGGCCAAAAGAAAAAAAAAATCCACGTACCTCAAATTCTCTATTAATAACTATAATCTATAAATATCCAGTTCCATGATGAGAAAATAATAATAAAAATATAAAAATAAAGTAATAAAATGAGAGTAAAATGAATTAGTGCTCTGATGAAATCTTACATAATTTCACAGTGCCTTATAGCCAGACTTGATTTGATATACTATAAATGTGTGATGCCTTGTCCATAAGAAGTACTAAATAAATTTTGTTAAATTAATGTATTATTTTAGATTTGTAGCCTATCTTCAACCAAATAATTCATATTCAATACTACTCTAAAACTGTATACTACATTATACTTTTCCATAAATTTTCAAACCTTAACTGCCACTGCTGTTCTGAGAGGAATAAGCAGCTAAACTGAAGTTGGGAATCATCAAAGGGCTCAGGCAATGGAGCCTTGGATAGGACAGTGATATTTAATACTTCATCTCAGAACAAGCTTTCCCCTGCCTGACCAAGAGTTCCAAACCAAAATACAATACCTCCTTTCTTTGGGCACAATGACTGACCCAAATTAATCTCCCAATTTAGAGTAGGAGGAGAAATGGTCTTGCCTCTTGAGTGTGATGGTACCAGAAGAATATGAGGCTAGATGGTTGCAAACAGTCATCTTTGATTTTCTGGCAAAATATCTAATTGCAAAAAAAGATGAAAATGGATTATAATGGAGTGATATTCCTGTTCTGTAACCCCCAAGGCCCTGGTTCCTGCAGACCGCTCTTCAACTTCATGTTATCTCAGCATCTTTTCCACCTGTAGACACCAAAAAATCCCATTTACTATTCAAAATAGTTTAAGCTGTATTGCTATCATTTGGAAACAAGAGTTCTACCTAAACTTAAGCATTAGACATGAGAACAGAGGAATGTAAAGGTAGGGAGTGTACACATAGAATATAGGTAAAGTGGGTGGAACAGAGGCTGAAAGACAAACATGTCGTCTTTCATTCCTCTATGAATATAAAAATTGTACAATAAATGTTAGAACATACATTAAAGGCATTTCTCATTACAATTCTACATACATTTACTGAATGCCTATTTATCAGGTACAAGGATCCAAATTTTCTGGCTATGTGACTCAACAGAAACATTAACTTATATAATATACTATAATTAAATAAAATTATTTCCATGGCACTTTGCTTCACAATACCACAGCACAACACAGGTGATGTGTATCATTCTTTTCCTCAAAGTATATCAAGAAATCTACTCTGATTTAACTTCACTTCTAACGGAAGCTATTTTGATTGGATTCCAATCAATAATACCTTGAACTGGAATTGATTTACCTAAAAAAATGTGTTACCATCTCTATAACAATTTTTTTTAAAGCCCAAACAGTGTCTCCTGCAGGATGTAGTTTGCCAACCCCTGCTCAAATTCACTTCAGTTCAGTTCAGTCGCTCAGTCATGTCCAACTCTTTGCGACCCCATGAACCGCAGCACGCCAGGCCTCCCTGTCCATCACCAACTCCCAGAGTCCACCCAAACCCATATCCAATGAGTCGGTGACGCCATCCAACCATCTCATCCTCTGTCATCCCCTTCTCCTCCTGCCCTCAATCTTCCCCAGCATCAGGGTCTTTTCAAATGAGTCAGCTCTTCACATCAGGTGGCCAAAATACTGGAGTTTCAGCTTCAACCTCAGTCCTTCCAATGAACACCCAGGACTGATCTCCTTTAGGATGGACTGGTTGGATCTCCTTGCAGTCCAAGGGACTCTCAAGAGTCTTCTCCAACACCACAGTTCAAAAGCATCAATTTTTTGGCGCTCAGCTTTCTTCACAGTCCAACTCTCACATCCATACATGACCACTGGAAAAACCATAGCCTTGACTAGATGGACCTTTGTTGACAAAGTAATGTCTCTGCTTTTTAATATGCTGTCTAGGTTGGTCAACTTTCCTCCAACAAGTAAGCGTCTTTTAATTTCATTGCTGCATTCACCATCTGCAGTGATTTTGGAGCCCGCCAAAATAAAGTCAGCCACTGTTTCCACTGTATCAACATCTAGCTGCCAAGAAGTGATAGGACCGGATGCCATGATCTTAGTTTTCTGAATGTTGAGCTTTAAGCCAACTTCTTCACTCTTCTCTTTCACTTTTATCAAGAGGCTCTTTAGTTCTTCTTCACTTTCTGCCATAAGGGTGGTATCATCCCCATATCTGAGGTTATTGATACCTCTAGCGGCAATCTTGATTCCAGCTTGTGCTTCTTCGAGCCCAGCATTTCTCATGATGTACTTACTCTGCATATAAGTTAAATAAGCAGGGTGACAATATATAGCCTTGACAAACTCCTTTTCCTATTTGGAACATGTCTGTTGTTCCATGTCCAGTTCTAACCACTGCTTCCTGACCTGCATAAAGGTTTCTCAAAAGGCAGGTCAGGTGGTCTGGTATGCCCATCTCCTTCAGAATTTTTCACAGTTCATTGTGATCCAGACAGTCAAAGGCTTTGGCATAGTCAATAAAGCAGAAATAGATGTTTTTCTGGAACTCTCTTGCTTTTTCAATGATCCAGCAGATGTTGGCAATTTGATCTCTGGTTCCTCTGCCTTTTCTAAAACCAGCTTGAACAGCTGGAAGTTCACGGTTCACATATTGCTGAAGCCTGGCTTGGAGAATTTTAAGCATCACTTTACTAGCATGTGAGATGAGTGGAATTGTGCGGTAGTTTGAGCATTCTTTGGCATTGCCTTTCTTTGGGATTGGAACGAAAACTGACATAACATGCTACAAAAAAAACTGACACATGTCCCACATGACTTGGCAGTGTCCCATCTAAGGTCATGTGGAAAGAAAACCTGTTTATAATTACTTGGACCTAGAAATTAGTCTTTCACTTTAAAAAAAAAAAAATGTATTTTTTGCACAGTTTTAATGAGTTATGAATTTTCCAGGAATGCAACTAACATAGCTTGTACTTTGGTTTGGTCAGAACTTTATAAACAGGCTGTTGAGCATTTTACGATATCTCATTATCAGAGGCAATACCATTTGTATTTTTATATCTAAACCACCAAACCAAAATATCTATATCTGTCTGCACTTATTGCTGCACATTCACAATGATGCTATATATACCTGCAAGTATTTAATTCATTTTATGTTCTAATTCAGTCATGCTTCAACATTTACATTTGTTTTTGTGTTTTTTTTTTTTTAATTTTTTGACTGCACCACATGGCATGCAGGATCTTAGTTCCTGATCAAGGATTCAACCTGCTTCCCCTGCAGTGGAAGCTCAAAGTCTTAGTGGAAGCAAAAGTTGCTCAACATTCACATTTTTATTATTATTTTTTTCACATTTTTAAATATATATTTTAAATTACTTTACTTTTTTACTTTCCTCATAACTTTACATTATACTCATGTCACCATATTGATTAGAAATTATGCATATTAACTTTATTAAATGTGAATTATAATTACATATGTATTTCACTTAAGGTTAAAAAGAACACTACAGTCAGGTCACTCATGATGGCTGCTCTCTTGTTCTCTGTACATCCCCTGCCGAACAGCACCTGCTTTACTCACATGACTGACCTTACAAACTTGTCCCAGGCTCCAGCTAGTGGCTCTTTTTATCAAAAGGGTGATGAGGAGTGTGGGCCTCTGATTTCCCTGGCTACTAATGAGCCAATCTGACGTAATTCCCCCTATAACTGGCAATCTCCTCTTACATATGGACACGAATTAGTGACTACACTATCCCTTCCACCAAGGAGTGAAACCTGCCACCATTTCTGGTCTACCGTCTGCTGCACATGGTGGGGTGTTGCTTCAGGACCTTGCTTCAGATGTGTAAGCTCCCTCATCCATTAAACCAAGAAGCAAGAGTTAGAACTAGATACAGAACAACAGACTGCTTCAAAATAGGCAAAGGAGTACATCAAGGCTGTATAATGTCACCATGCTTATTTAACTCATATGCAGAGCATGTAAATAGAAATGTTGGGCTGGATGAAGCTCAAGCTGAAATCAAGATTGCCTGGAGAAATATCAATAACCCCAGATATGCAGATGACACCGTCCTAATGGCGGTGAAAGAGGAGAGTGAAAAAGTTGGCTAAAAAAAGCAACCTAAACTAGTAATAAAGAAAATATAAATTAATGTATGGATGTGAGAGTTGGACCATGAAGAAAGCTGAGCACCAAAGAATTACTGCTTTTGTACTGTCATGTTAGAGAAGACTCTTGAGAGTGCCTTGGACTGCAAGGAGATCAAACCAGTCAATCTGAAAGGAAATCAATCCTGAATATTCATTG